CCAGCTCACAGCAACCTCAAACTCCTGGGCTCAAGCAATCCTCCTGCCTCAGCCTCCTGAGTAGCTGGGACTACAGGCATGTGCCACCCTGCCTGGCTAATTTTTTCTGTATATTTTTAGTTGTCCAGCTAATTTCTTTCTTTTTTTAGTAGAGATGGGATCTCGCTCTTGCTCAGGCTGGTCTTAAACTCCTGAGCTCAAACGATCCTCCTGCCTCGGCCTCCCAGAGTGCTAGGATTACAGGCATGAGCCACCGCGCCTGGATGAAAGTTATGTTTTTGTATGCTAAAAGTTATATAAAATAATTTAGCAGTTGCTCCACTTCAATGAGCATATTTTGGTGATAGACTGTTTCTGTTTGCTTAGAAATGTTATTTCACCCTCCTTGAATCATTGACTAAAGAATTCTAGGCAGCACCATGAAGACACTATTCTGTTTTTTTGGTTTCCCCTGTTGGTGTTGAGAAATCAGTTGTTGGTCCCGTTGTTCTTCTTTTGTGAGTAGTCCTACCTTTTTTTTCCCTATTCTTAAGATCTTTTTGTATTTGTGATTTTTTACTCTGACAATGTTCACACAAGATATGGATTTCTTTTTATTTATCTTGCTAGGGACTTAATGGGCTTTCTGACTTTGAGATTTAGTATCTTTCCACATTTCTGGAAAATTCTTAGCCATTTTCTTTTAAGATATTGTCTCTTGTCTTGTCTCCTTCTACATCTTTAAACGTGTTAGATCTTCTCATCTGCATGTTCAACGTCTTTAATTCTTTTATTTTCTCTCTCTTTGTTTCCCTATATTGCATTCTACATAACTTTATTTGGATCTGTCTTCTATTAATAGTTCTCTGATATGTCCCTTTAGTTTTTAATTTTAATTTAAGAAAAAATTTCTAGACTTTTTGGGGCTTCCTTTCCAGTTTGTCTGGTTGATTTCTGTAGTTGCTTGTTCATATTTTCTAGCTTTTTATTTCTTGAAACCTATTAAACATTTCATGTGCTGTGTTTGGTAATTTCAGCTTCTCAAGGCTTTGAGAGTCTGTTTCTGCCTTTTGTTTTTGCTGACTTTCAGGTATCAGGACCTTATTTTCTACGTCCTGTGGGAGTTTGTTTTGTTTTGTTTTGCTATGAGCTCATATTCCTTGGAATTTTATCTGTGGGAATTCTTTGAATCCTAACTGAAGTTGCATTCCTTCAGAAGAGAATTTGTCTTTATTTCTGCTGCATCTCTGGGGACCTACATTTTTGGCTTGAGGTTTTTTGGACTACATACATGCCCTGAATTCAGTCTACAGATCTGTGTGAAGGCTGGATTATGGTTATGAATTCTGGGGATAAATTTTTTCCCCTTCACCCACTGCCGCTTTCCTTGCTACCCTCTTTTGTGTGGCAGACTTAACCTCTATTTTAGCTTTAAGCTGAAGATATAATTCTTTGAATCACAGCTTTAAATATTGATCTGCTAGATAGCCTACTTTGAGTGGGTCCAGGCCTCAACTGTAGTCTGTGGTGCTCCTTGCAGCCATCAAAATGGAATCCTGGCCGGGCGCGGTGGCTCATGCCTGTAATCCTAGCACTCCAGGAGGCCAAGGTGGGAGGATCGCTTGAGGTCAGGAGTTTGAGACCAGCCTGATCGAGAGTGAGACCCTATCTCTACTAAAAATAGAAAAAATCAGCTGATGTGCTGGCACACACCTGTAGTCCTAGCTATTCAGGAGGCTGAGGCAAGAGGATCACTTGAGCCCAGGCCTTTGAGGTTTCTGTGAGCTATGATGACGCCGCTGCACCCTAGCCAGGGTGACAGAGTGAGATTCTGTCTCAAAAAAAATTTAAAAAATGGAATGCTAAGGTCCCTAGGGTTTGGTAGATAGCTTCAGGAAAGAATATGGCTTCATCGCATGCTTACTTCCTTGGGTTGCAGTTTTCATTTAGTTTTTATTCTCCAAAGATTCCCTTTTTTTTGTTCCCAGCACAACCATTTACATATACAGTCACGTGTGGCATAAGACTTTTTGGTCAATGACGGACCACATATATGACTATAATGGAACCGGAAGTGTGCAGTAGGCCATATACCATCTAGGTTTGTGTAAATAGTATACTCTATCATGTTTGCACAACAATAAAATCCTAATGACACATTTCTCAGAACATATCCCTGTTGTTAAGTAAAGCATGACTATATTAAAATTTCAAAATTCAGCTTTTTAGGTGCTGCTGAAATTGAAAGAGTAAGCTAGTTCTTAAAAAAAAATCAGAATCTATTCCCCTACTTCATCTGACATTTGATCTCAAACACATAAGATATGCAGAGAAAGCACACAAGTACAAGGTCAAAGCTGGTTTATGCTGATAATATTATCCATATATAGAGATAGGTAGGAAGGTAGGTAGGTAGATAGGAGGGAAGATAGATACATACAGCCAACTTTGGGCATTTCTGTGACTTATTTATGTGGTGTTACGATGTTTTAAATTTGATAGTCTTCCCTAGATCTATGGCCTTTCTGTGATATTTGGGACAGAATTTTTAAAAACCTGGCCGGGCGTGTTGGCTCACGCCTGTAATCCTAGCACTCTGGGAGGCCGAGGCAGGAGTATCATTTGAGCTCAGGAGTTCGAAACCAGCCTGAGCAAGAGCGAGACCCCGTCTCTACTATAAATAGAAAGAAATTAGCCAAACAACTAAAAATAGAAAAAATTAGCCAGGCATGGTGGCACATACCTGTAGTCCCAGCTACTTGGGAGGCTGAGGCAGGAGGATCACTTGAGCCCAGGAGTTTGAGGTTGCTGTGAGCTAGGCTGACGCCACGGCACTCTAGGCCGGGCAACAGAGTGAGACTCTGTCTCAACAACAACAATAAAAACAAACCTTGGCCAACCCTTACATCCCATAATTTCTGCATGCAGAACTTTCTGGGAGGATTACTTTACTGTTATTGACAACCAGACAAATTGTGTCACTTTTGAATTGTGGTAAGTTTATAGAAGGTTATTATATTTCTAAGAGCAGTGGCTAGACACTCAGGAATGCTGAGTAGACAAAAGGAAAGAAAGCTAAGGAAAGGAAGCCCTTACTAAGAGCATTGGGTATCATCAGATCCAGCTTTTCTTGAGTTTGGGTTGCATGGATGAAGTCTACTGAAGGATTTTCACAGTTAGAAGTTCATGTTAGGATGCCTGTGTGCCTTTTGACATGAGACACGTACGTCTTGACTTGTTCTCTTTATTCGAGTTCAGAGAATTTTTTCAATGGGCTATAGAAAAACACTACCTTTATTTTTTAGACCCATTTTAATTTCAGTTCACGTTAAGACCAAGGGGTCAGTTTCTTAGCTACAGGTGTTTGTGCCAGACTGCTAGGTGCGAAAGTAGATTAGGGATTTCCAGCATCACTTCTGCACCTTCGTCGTTCTCCTGCCAGCTCCCTCTTCCCGCTTTCCCCCACAGGCTTGGATTCAAATCCTGGCTTTGCCACCCAACAACTGAAGTGACTAGTCAGTCAGCTGTCTGAGCTCAATTTCCTAATGAATTCAATGGAGATAATGTCAGCCTCAAAGACATGATCATGAGAATTAACTAATACAACTCATAAAATACTCATTGCTAGGCAGAGTAGACATTCAGTAAATATAACTTCTCTTTCATCTTGAATGATGGAAAAATTGTCATCAGTCTTTGGACTTTGGAAGTGCATTTTCCTTTCATTCATTATGCATTCATTCTTGTGGACTGCTTTGTGAAATGCTGACAAACCCATTATTGGAAATATTTGTAAGGGATAGTTTTTCAGGGATACTGTAGGAGGGAATTCTGTTTGAGAAGATCAGATGGACGAGGTGACCTGTTAGACATCCTTGTAACTTGGTGTATGTCAACTAGCTCCTTTATTATTTATAATTAATTTTGACAGTCATTTTATTTCAGATGCTATGTTGCTAGGTTATTATCCTCCCATCTTTTCCTCTCAGGAATTTAGAGAAATAAGTTAGAATTGGACTGTGAAGCCCATATTCATGATACTTACATTGTCTTAGATATACATGGCTGTATATCTGTTTTCCCTTTTATTTTAAGGGAGAAATTCTGTATTTTCTATGAAGGAAACTGTAAGCTGATTTCCTCTTCATCAGATTTTCTGTATTGTTTAGGTCTTTCTTTTTTCTTTATCTTACCTGTTTATTATTCAGTATTAATCAATTTCTTAAATGTGTATATTTCACAGATTAACATGTTTAACTCTTATAGATTCACTTGGCACTTTGTATCAATACCTTTCATTGCTTTTTTTTATACTGTTAATTAGATAAGCACTCTAAGAAAGAGCAGGTTATGAATCATATCTTCTAGGATTGTATGGAATAAAGGGGGTGATGTATATAATGTCCTTAGCTTCATCTTTGGGGCATATAAGTGCTCCGAGAATGCTAGCTGGTAACTGTTATTATATTTGTATTCCTCCTGTTCTACACTTAAAATTCTCAAAGAGTAGAGAACTATATAATATATACTTTACATATTATGGACTCAACATTTTACTTATTAATATATTTTTATTCTCATCGTAGTTTTAAATGTTTCCTCTTTTGTCTTACAGTGATGAAACTAGAGAATCTGTTTATAGGTGATTCAGGTCGATATTTGGCTATTCAATTCCATCTGGAATGTGCATATATTTTTTTATATTATTATGAGTATCAGAAAGCAAAAGATCAGTTCAATATTGCTAAAGACATTGGCAAATTACAAATTGATTTGACAGGTAAGACTTTTTACCCTTTGTGGATAATTGATTTTATTTTTATGATAAAACTCATATATATGCATTGGCAGTTTGTATTATATGCTAGTATTTGATTGTCTATATCTTATTCTTTGATTTAAAAAACTAGATTTTAAAGATTTTATTTAAAAATGCATAGTTGTAGAATAAATTTGAAATTGTATATTTTCTTTATTCTTAGAGATTCCCATTTATTGTCCTAATCTAGTTAGATACATGTTAGTAATAGACAGTAGCCAGGCCGTACACAAGTGGACTCTGACCATGTGGTTCTGGATGTGGGCCTCCCAAGATCTCTCTAGAGTGCCCCGTTTAGCTTGGTCTCTCTGCATTGCCCTTTCTTATAAGTACCCACCTATTGCTTCCATCCTTCTTTTTTTTGTATTCCTTATTAGCTGAAATTTTTGACTATTTTGTTTACTCGATAGTTTTCTTCAGTGCTTAAGAACACTGTCTGGCATATAGTAGGCACTCGATAAATATTTGTTGAATGAATGAATAAATTAGAGAATTTCTCCTAAAAACCTCTGTTTCTTCTGAATACCAAATAAGAAACATTGTTTTCTTTTTATGAATTGTTTTGTCCCTAATGTCTCACAATATAACTGGTATTCAGTATTGAATAAATTAATGAAAGTCAGACATCATCAGTTGATCACACCATTTATACCTATTGAACCTGGCTGAGCATTCTAGGATATAACCACCTATCTGTGAATGTTGAAATGAGCAAACCTATTTGCTTGCCCAAGGCTAGGTCTAGATTGTCTCTAAGGGCTATGCTTAGCCCCCAGATTCTGTGCTTCTTGAGCTAGTCCTATCAATAAAATCCGATATATTATGAGTTACATATATGACTTTGTGGGCTGGTCTGGGATCTTAGCCACCTTTTATTACAATTGTCTGGGAAAAATTATTTAATATCTAGCTTATAGCTTTTTGAACAATGGCCATGTAAAAGTTGGAGTCTTGTCTGCATTTGAAAATGTAATTATATATAATATAACTTGTGAGGTTAGTTTCAGAGATCATGTTTTTACGTATTTTGGTCCTAGCAGACTGTTTTGGAACTATTTAAAATATTAATGGCACAGTACTCTGTATATTCAGCTTTAGCTGAATTTACTACCCAGTTCTTTATATTTTGTTTTCCAAGTTAGTGGTGAAGAATTTAAAAATACAAATGTGGTGCTCACAAGTATAAAATGAGAATCAGGTTATTATTTTTTTCCACTCAGCTGTAGTCTTACTGTAAAAAAGTAAGCCACGCTACACCATTTCAGTGGCTATCTTTAGCATAACGTGTTTAAAAGGTTGATGTATAATTTAGAGCCAGACTCATCACAGGATAAGATCCAGACTTCTTAGACTGGTTTTTGTAATCAAGGGTCTTTGTAATCTGACCCTTTTCAGAGAATGGATATTGGAATTTTTGCTTCTCTTAAAGTGGTTTGAAAACAGCTATTCTGCAGCAAGTTATTTCAGAGACATAGTAAAAAAATTTTGGTGTTACATGAAGCCAGATAGAATAACATACTGTGGGATTTAGGACCTGACAAGCTGGATTGTAGCTCTGGCTCTGCTACTGAGAAGTCCTGTGATCTTGAACAAGTGACAATATCTCAGAACCTCTGTTTTTTCATCTGTTATATAGAGATAATAATAGTTTTTCTACCTATAACACTTAATGAGTTACTCTTTTTTGAGGAGGGTGATGGTTTGATGCGAAAGTAAGTGTGGAATCTAGTGGCAGAAATCCTGAGTTTGAGTCTTGGCACCATAGATTATTGGCTTTATAATTTTATAAGTCATTTAAAACCTGACGCTGGGCCTTTTCTTATGTGAAATGGAGAAAACACCTTGTAAACTCTAAAGCACTCTTAAAATATTACTCTTCATGGTTGTACAGTAGATCTAACTGACAAATTAATAGATATGATTTTATTGTTTTTTCAGGTGCTTTGGGAAAAAGGACACGATTCCAGGAAAATTATGTGGCACAACTGATTCTAGATGTAAGAAGGGAAGGGGATGTCCTTTCACGTTGTGAATTCAGTCCAGCTCCCACTCCTCTGAAACATTTAACCAAAGTAAGTAGGATTATAAGTTATTTAATTCAATTAATAGCTGAGTCTAACCATTTCAATAGGTGAGTACCGTAGAATCACTGGATAGGGTGGACACAGAATTCATTCTGTCCTTTCTTGAGCCTTTTTAAGGTGACTGGGACAGGGAAGAACCCAGTGTTTAAGCCTTTTTTTAATTTAACCTTAAGTAGAGAAAATGGTGTTTTTCTTCTAGAATTTAATAAATATGAATTAATAATAGAGTCACTTATGTATTACCCCCCCTTGAAGAAATACCCAAGACAGACTGAGTAGAGACCAATTATTCTAGATGCTACCATATTTGTCGTCTTACATTTGGATGTTTTTGAACACTCAGAGACTTGGAATTTCTTGGGCTTCCTCTAAGTGTATAAACAGTTTTATCAGGATTCCTTTTCACCAGTTTTATGGTTTGCCTTTTGTTACTGTGTCATTATTGTGTTGGTTGCTGCCTTAGTATGGTTTTTTTGATACATCTAATGAATTCTCTTCTTATAGTTTGAATTTATGACTCTTCGTCAGTTTACCTACTCACAGGCCTCTCCAGCTGCTTCCATGGAGGCCATTAGCATTTATGTATGTATTTTCCTATCCCAGAGACCACAAACCTATATTTTTTGTTGTCCTTTGGTTGATTTTACAGTCCGTAAAGCCCATATGTTGCTACTCTTCATTCCAGAGCCTGCAAGCAAATTTATCTTGGGTACACTGCACGCTAAAATTCTATTCCGTATTGAGAATCATGCCAAGGGGCGGTGCTGCAGCTGGGTAAGAAGAGTGGCAGCAGTTGTTAGTCCCAAGGAAGGCCTTTGCTAGATGCTGCCTATCTCCTGGGATTGCCTCAAGCACTCTATTGTTTGCTTTTGTGACAACTTCAGTGAGGAATAGTTCTTGATTGTAAGCCGAGAATGACGGAAGGAAGGGAGAAATGTAGAAACTCAGGGATGAGACAACACAAGGTGCCACCTGTACTACCTGAAGGACGTAGAGCCATCTTTGAATGAGGACTCTTACTGCTGGGCCTGGTGCTGGGCAGGGAACTGTGCCGGTACCTGCCTCCACCCCTCACTTCTTCCTTATATGTACTGGGTCTTCCTCCTTAAGGTTTTGGAAGTCACCTAAGTCCCTATCTAAGTCTTAGATTAACTGTCAGAAGCCTGATTTTTAGGCTTAACACAGCATCTATGAAAAAAGATTTAATTCTGGAATCCAGCATTTTATTCAGTAATGCATTATTTTTTGTTGTTTTCTTATGTGGAGTTCTCCTGTGGAAAATTGTCTCCTATGGTGATAAATAGGATATGATGATTATTATGAGGAATGTATAAAAGTTATGTACAGCTTAATACAGAATTTAAAAAATTGTGAAAGGCCTGTGGTGAAAGTGGATGGCCACCAGGGTGTGTTGTACACTTGCCAGGCCTGCCTTTTTAGGGGTCCTCCTTCAGGAAGGAATTTTTGCAGTGGAGACTGAGGAGCTGCCTAAAGTTTTGTGTTTCTCCCAGTCAGCATTTGCTGGGGTTGCAGTACTCTTTCCTGGAAAACTTGTAGAGAGGCCGAGCACAGTGGCTCACGCCTATAATACTAGCACTAGCACTTTGTGGGAGGACTGCTTGAAGCCAGAAGTTCAAGACCAGCCTGAGCAAGAGCGAGACCCCGTCTCTACTAAAAATAGAAAAATTAGCTGGGCATGGTGGCACATGCCTGTAGTCCCAGCTACTTGGAAGCCTGAGGCAGGAGAATCGCTTGAGCCCGGGAGTTTGAAGTTCCAGTGTGCTATGATTACATCACTGCACTCTAGGCCCCAGCAACAGAGTGAGATCCTGTCTTAAAAAGAAAGAAACCTTGTAGAGAAAAGCTGGGCCTATAGTTAGGGTGAATTTGAGGACAGATTAGGAAAGCTGTTCCTTTGGTCTGTGATTTGGGCAGATTAACTGCTTATCCTCATTTCCAAAGCTTGAGCTTGTAGCCATAGATAATTTCCAGCCTTCTGAAATTGTAAGTCTTTGAGGAGCTTCATTTGGCTCCTAAAGTCTTTCTTCTTTTAGCTATACTTTTGTTGAATTAGAAAAAAATTTAAATCAAGTTTATTGAGGAATAACTTATATAAAATGCGTCTATTTTAAATTACAGTTTGTTGAGTTTTAACAAACAGACCCATATAACCACCACCATAATGGAAATATAGAAGCATTTCCTTCATACTCCTTTGCAGTCAGTCACTTTCCCTCCCATTGATCTGCTTTCTGATACAAATTAGACCTATCTTTTCTAGAATTTCAAATAAATGGAATCATATAACATGTACTTTTTGGGTCTGGCTTCTTTCACTTAGTGTAATGTTTTTTAGATTCATCTGTGTTAGAATAATGAGTTAGCTCCTGTTTATTGCTGAGTAGTATTTTGTTGTGTGGATAAACCACAATGTGCTTTATTTACTGAACTGTCAGTGGACATTTGCATTGTCTCTAGCAGCTATTCTCGATATATCTGCTCAGAATGTTTGTGTTTAAGTCTTTGTGCAAATGTAAGTTTTTAATTCTCTTGGGTAAATACCTAGGAATGGAATGACTGGTTTGTCTGTTAAGTGTATTTTTAACTTTATGAGGAACTACCAAACTGTTTTTCAAAGTGGTCATGCTGTTTTACATTCTTTTTTTTTTTTTTATTTCAGCATATTATGGGGGTACAGATGTTTAGGTTACGTGTGTTTTACATTCTTATCATCAATGTATGAGCATGCAGGTTGCTCTACATCCTTGCCAATATTTGGTATTGTCAATCTTTTAAATTTTTGCCATTCTAGTGTGTATAATGTTATCTCATTGTGGTTTTGCTGTTTTTTGGTGATTCATTTTAAAAAATATCACTTTGGCTGAGCATGGTGGCTCATGCCTGTAGTCCCAGCTACTCGGGAGGCTGAGGCAGGAAGATCGCTTGAGCCCAGGAGTTTGAGGCTGCAGTGAGCTGGGATTGTGCCACTGCACTTCAGCCTGGGCCACAAAGCAAGACCCTGTCTCCAAAAAAAAAAAAAAAAAAAAATCACTTTTATTGAGGTATAACTTATACATAAAAATTGACCCATTTTAATTGTACAGTTTAATGAGATTTGACAAATAAATGCACCTAACCATTGTAGTCAAGAAGTGTTCCCTTACCGACAGAGAGTTCCATCCTGCGCCTTTACAGTTAATCTCCCACCCCTCTGGCTGTAAACAACCATTGGTCTGCTTTCTGTGACTACAGATATTTGCCTCTTCTAGAATTTTATATGAATGGAATCATACATACTCCTTCTTTGTATCTAGCTTCTTTTTCAGCATGATGTTTTTGAGATTTATCTATATGGTTGCATATGTCAGTAGTTCCTTTTTAATGCTGAAAAGAATCCTATTGGTTGGATATAGCATAATGTTTTAAATCAGTTTACCTGTTGATAGACATTTGGGTTGTTTCCAGTTTTGGGCTATATAGATAAAACTGCTGTGAACATTATGAACATGTCTTTGTGTGTACATATGTTTTCATTTCTCTTGGGTGACTACTTAGGAGTGGAATTGATGGCTCACGTGGTAAATGTATATTTATTATAAGAAGCTGGCAAACTGTTTTCTGTGGTTTTGCCATTTTTATATTTCCATCAGTAATGTATAAAGGTTCTAATTATTCCAGATCCTTGCCAGCATTTAATATTAATATTGTTAATCTTTTTAACTGTAGCCATTCTAATGTGTATGTGTACTAATAGTTCATTCAGATTTTAATAGTATTTCTCTGTTGACTGCTACTGTCAGTTATTTTTGTGTGTGCTCATTGGCTATTCATGTATCTTCTGTTAGGAAGTGTGTACAGTCTTTTTCCCATTTTTTTATTTGGGTTGTTTGTCTCATTATTGAGTTCTAAGTTCTGCATGTTCTGAATACATGTCCCTTTTCAGAAATGTGTTTTGTAAGTATCTTTGACTCTGTAGCTTGGCTTTTTGTTTTCTTACCAATGTTTTCAAAGAGCAGAAGTTTGTAATTTGATAAAGTCTAATTTATTAAGTTTTTCTCTTATGATTTATGTTTTATGTATCCTAATTAAGGACTGTCTGTCTACCCCAAGGTTGCAAAAATTTTGCCCTATGATTTCTTCTAGAAGTATTTTTAGTTTTAGCACCTACATTAAGGTCTATGATCAATTTTGATTTAATTTTTATATATGGTATGAGACAAAGGTGGAGGGTCATTTTTTTTCCCAAATGGATACCCAGTTGTTCCAACATCATTTATTGAAAAGACTTTACTTGTTGAATCACCTAGGTACCTTTGTTGAAAATCAATCAACCATATATGCATGGTCCTTAAATTTTGGATTGCATTCTCTTCCATTCATTTATATGTCTGCATGCCGGTACTACACTGTACTTTGGCTTTATGGTAATTCTTGAAATCAAGTACTCTTAAGTCCTCAGATTTTATTCTTTTTCAAGTTGTTTTGGCTATTCTAGAACCTTTCCATTTCCATATAAAGTTTAGAATCAGCTTGTCAGTTTGGTATTTCTATTAATGAGTTATTTATAACCTATTTATTGTTATTGTCAGTGCATTCTTGAGGTTTAGGTAGCACATCTTCCATTTCTACAAGATAAACTGTCCCCAAATATGTGTTTCACAAGAAACAGCCTATTGACCATATATAGATGTTATAGAATCTTAAACAAAAAAGTAAGTTAACTTTATCCCCCCAACAATCTATTAATATTACATGCCATTCAGTTGAATGAATCAAATTTAATTTTTGGTCTAAATATTTTCTTTTGTATTTTACCAGAATCTTGAGCTCAATGACGATACTGTTCTGAATGAGATAAAGTTAGCAGATTGTGAACAGTTTCAGATACCTGACCTATGTGCCGAAGAGCTTGCTGTTATCCTTGGAATCTGGTAAGTTAATGACTGTCTTGGCTGCTTTCAATACCTTGCATGTTGGTTCTCTTGTGTTTAGGGAAATCTTTATTCAGGGAGGTCCCAAGAGTTCTGGATGAATAGGGAGTTTTATAGTGCTTATGAAGATTGAAACCGATACTTGGGAAGCCAGTTAAAGAGTTAGAGATTAGGAATCTCCTATGAGTTGCTGTACTCGTTCTTCTCTTTCCTTTATAGGCAAAATTTTTGTTTAATGAGCCTTAACTAGGAAAAGTACAAAGAACTTTTGAGAATAAGTTTTCACCGTGATATCCCTGAATACTTTAGTGTGTGTTTCCAACAGGTAATGGTATTTTTGTACATAGCTACAATATAGCTATTAAAATCAGAAAATTAACATCCATACTTTACTATCATTTATTCTCAGACCCCTTTCAAATTTTGCCAGTTGTCCTGATAATCTCCTTTAGAGCAAAAGATCCTGTGTTACATTTAGTTGTCATATCTCTTTAGTCTTTGTCAATCTGGAATAGTTGCTCATTTTTGCTTGACTTTCATGATCTTGACACTTGAAATTTACAAGTTAGTTATTTTGCAGTCTTTCCTTCAATTTGAGTTTGTCTGATTTTTTGTTTCCTTAATGATTAGATTCACCTTGTGCATTATTAGCAGGGATATCAGGGAAGTGAAATTTTGTCATTCTCAGTGCATCCTAGGAGGTAGAGCATGATTTTGATTTGTACTACTGGTGATGTTAACTTTCATCACATGATTAAAGAGGTGTTTGCTATGCTTCTGCAATGTAAAGTTATTCTCTTTTATGTTTGTATTGTATTTAATATGTTGTAGGAAGGTACTCGTAGACTATATAAGTATCATATTTGTCATCAAGAGAATTAGTAATGCTCAAAGTAGAATCTCTCACAAAGTTACAATGTTGACACCAGTTAAATTAGTAATAGGCAATTTAGGAAAGGGTGTTTGAAAAAATTTGTTCTTTTAACTTAGTAGTGTTCGCTGCATAGCATTTTACCTCCTATATACTAACAATAGATTTTCATTTATGTAAAAGTTGAATTCAGTTCTACAGTCCCCTTTTATTTGTTTAAAAGGGATCGTACATATAGAATTCTGTTTCTAATTCCAAAGCGATCTTCCTATTACATTATTTGATCTCAGTGACAGAATTCACAGTTACTATAGAAAAATTACTTGTTCAATTTATAATATACTTATTAATAATATGAATAGCAGCCATTTATGAGCAATACTATGTGCTGGCATTATACCAAGTACTTTCACATTAACCCCCATTAATAATCTAACACCCCTTGGGGTGGTTATTTTTCTCATTTTTTTTTCAGATGAGAAAATAGTGTTCAAGTGACTAAATGACTCGTCCAGAATTACAAAACAGCAATTAGGATTTGAGTCCAGGTTTTATTGACTTCAAATTCTGGGTTCTTCTTTATGCCATTTTTAAAAATGTTATTTTGGCAATTTCATAATTGTCAACTCATCAGGAAAGCTGTAGCAAACAAATGTTTCCTCAGCCTTTCCGCGAATTGAACTTACTTTCTACTGAGTTAAACATCATAATTGAGAAAGGACTAAAAGCCAAGAAAAAGCTTGTCTTCAAATACTATTTTTCCCCTTAAGTAAGATTTTGGTGGAATTTCACTATATTGAACAGATAAAAGTGATGAATGGATTTCACAGGCTGCTTAAATCTTCAATTGCTCGGCAGAAACCACTTAGTTATTGTCTGAACCTTAGAGCATGCAGTGTATAAACCTCTGGGTTAGAACATTGACGAATTCATTATTTGCACTATTTGAGTTACTGTGGGGGATAAATAGTGATTTTCTTATACTGCCTGATCTCCATCTGATCCCCATGGCTGCTAACCCCTATGAAGAGGTGACTTGGACATTGTGGTAGGCTGGCTTGGTTTCGAATGGAGACTAAGAGAAGGTGTGTTCTTATGGATTATAGATTGACCCAACAGTGGGGATAGCTTTGTGCCCCTTCCCTGACTCTTGCCTTTCACTGGCCTCCTGCTTGACTTTGATTTTTACCTGAAAACCAAACACTGGAACTTGCCCTGTGTCTCTCATACCTCGGTATACCTGACAGCATTTACAGAAAGCATTGTGTGAAGAATTCCTTAAAATATAGCAGCCTTGGAGTGATTCAGACTACTAAGTGGGGAAGAGTAATTCTCTTTTAAATTAACAGTTTGATTTTTAAGTATGTATAGTAGTAATACAGTTGGCCCTCCATATCCAGAAGTTCCTTTTCTATGGATTCAACCAATTTGGATCAAAAATACTCTGGCAAACAAAAACGCAATAAAAAATAATACAACAATAAAAAACAATACAAATAAAACAATACAGTGTAACAACCATTTATATAGCATTTCTATTATATTAAGTATTATACATAATGTAGAGATGATTGAAAGCATGCTGGAGGATGTGCATAGGTTATATGCAAATACTGCACCATATTATGTAAGAGACTTGAACATCCTCAGATTTTGATACCCGTGAGAGGTCCTGGAACTAATTCCCCGCAGATACTGAGGGACAACTGTAGGAGTATATTATAAGCCTTTGACAGTAAATTATGTTAAATAGTGGTGACCCAACTCGGTGACTATGTCGTAAGTATTTGTAATGAGCCTGTAGCATTTCACTTTTTTTATTTTATTTTATTTTTTTTAAGCCAGTCAAATTTAGCAGTGGGGGATTGAATACCAACTTTAGTGACACTAGTGTTAATAAGTTCTGATAACCCACCATTGGACCAGCCAAGCATTTCACTTTATCTGTGTACTTTATGTAATGCTTTTAGGATTGGAATTTTTATGTGAGAGATGAATATTGATCCATTTGGATGAGGTTCTTGTCTTGGAATGCCTGTTATATTCTTGTTCACTCATTAGAATCTTAGTGTCTAGAACTAAAAGGACCTTAGGAGTGGTTAATTGGATCATCTTGCCACTTGATACATAATTCCTTTGTTCAGTCAAATTAGAAGTGTCTAAGTGTGTGTGTGTTGTGTGTATTTTAAATGAAATTATTTCATAGTTCTTTCCTTCCCCATTCATTTATTTTTTTCTTACCAAAAATAAAAATAGGTTCATTTAAAGATTATTATATGAACATTTTATGCTCATTATAAAATTCTTATAGTATTGAAAATAACAAAGTATTACTGTTTTATGGAGTGGTATTTTCATTTCACTTTTAATATATGTAATATTTGCATACAAAAGAATTTATATAATATATAAATGTAAATTATATAGTATAGTAATAAAATGAACGCTGTTGAACCCACTACTCCATTTAATAACTAGAAGATTACAAATACCATTAGCCCAACCTGTGTGCTTCTGCATCTCATCCTCCTGCCTCTTCTTGAGATAGCTGCTACCCTGATTTTGTGTTTGTCATTTTCTTGCCTTTTAAAAAGTATATTTAATCTCATGTTTTGTATACCTGTAAGTCAGTTGCTTCATTTTGCTTATTCATGAGCTTTATAAATGTGATATCTTATATAGTCCTTTGTGATTTGCCTTTTTTCTCTCATTATTGTGTTTCTATGATTCATGGTGCTATATGTATCTACAATTTACTGTGCTATATAGCGTTCCATAGGAAGAATATATCACAGTTTACTATTTTCTTTTGGACACTTGGATTATTTCCAGATTTTTCCTATTACACACAATATCACTATGGTTATTTATGTGTATGATTCTTGGTTCACTGGTTCAAGAATTTCTCTGGGCTGTCTACCTAGGATGGAATTATTGAGTCGAGGATATGTAAATGCTGAGTTTATAAGATAGTGCCAAATTGTTTTCTAGAATGATTCTACCAATTATACCTGGATCAGCAGGATTTTAGAATTCCTATTGTTCGGCCTCTTTGACAGTTTCTTAATTTTCCCTGCTAGTGGTTATGGTAATATTTTCATTATTTTTGGCATGAATTTAATAAATAAGAGTTGTTGCTGTAATAATTCTTTTCATTTTCTTTGCGGAGTGGCACAGATTGTATTTCTTTTTTCCTAGTAAGATAAATTATGTTGACATTTAGTACACCAAGCACATTTTGTCAGCATTTTATTACTTTTTATACTTATCTTTGACAAACTCTTGTCTACATTTGTATATAATGGCATAATATTTAAATATGTGCTTTCAAATATATAAAATATAGCAACTGCTTTGTTTTTTTAAAAAAGAATCATATTAGATATTAATATAATATGCATTTTAGAACTAATTTGCTTTTTTTAAAATTTAAAGCATAAATCTCCAAAAGAACAACCCAGTGCATAAATTAACTGAAGAGGAGCTGCTGGCATTTACATCAGTGAGTAATGTATTTTTCCTTTCCATTTCATATTTTTTCCTTGTGAATTATTTTGCCTCTGGTATGTTCTTGCCTTAGATTGCTCATGTTGAAACACTGCCACTTAAGAAAGTACGGGGAGAAAAACCTCATCATTTTAGTTTCCAGGTCACATATATTTTGCTGCTGACTTAAACATAACCCTTTTTCTTTGTACTTGCTTGGATTTGAAGGTAGTGACCAAATATTTCTTGTTCATTGTTTTATTCTAGGGCCTACTCTACTATCTTGCATATAATAGGTGCTTAGTAAATATATATTGAATGAATAAATGAAGTAACAGAGCCAGAGCCACTATAGTCTGCAACTCTTATGACTAAAACTGAACGCGGTGCTGGTGTGGACATAGTGAGAATGAAAAACTGGGAGCAGGAGAGCGTTGGTTAGAGAGGCCAGGGAAGGATGGGGTGTCAAGAGCATGGGGTGCTCGTCAGTCACTGTTCAACAGAGTAGAGCAGTCAGGAAAGAAATGTGGATGGAGAAGAGACCATAGGAGTTGAAAATTGGGAGTGCATTGCTTCCATCTAGGACAGTTTCAGTGGGATATCTAGATAGTTACCTTAATTCAGAGAATTCAGGAGGGAATGGGGTTGTAAGGAAGTAAAGTTGATAGGTAAAGACCACAGTAGAAGAATGGCAGTGAAAACGAAAGATGAAGTAGTAGATGTTTGTGGATTCAAGATCAAAGAAGGGGTTTCAACTGGGCATTGTGGCTCATGTCTGTAATGCTAGCACTTTGGGAGGCTGAGGCGGGAGGATTGCTTGAGGCCAAGAGTTCAAGACCAGCCTGAGCAAGAGCGATACTCTGTCTCTGCAAAAAAAATTGACCACAGGTACTGTGGTGGCTGTGCCTGTAGCCCCAGCTATTTGGGAGGCTGAGGCAGGAGAATTGCTTGAGCCCAGGAATTTGAGGTTGCAGTGAGCTATGAGGATGCCACTGCATTCTTTCCTGGGCGACAGCGTAAGAGTTTGTCTCCAAAAACAAAAGGAAGGGTTTTCAAGAAGAGAAAAGTCACAAAGAAAGGAGTCAGTCATTATCTTTTGGCTTTATGGGTAAAAAAAGATACATGTGTTCTTTAATGAATGCAAGTTGCCTAAGATATATCATTTTTTCAATGACATTTTTATTATCATAATTATGGAATCAAGTTAGAATTCTGATGCTTTCTTCCGTTGTTATTTTTCAGATAAGGCAAAAGAAAGTACTTTTATCTGGTAGAAAGAAAAGCTAGCTTGTTTTGTGCTGTAATATAAATTTTGCAAATCACTCTTTCCTACATAGTCTCTTAAAAATGATTAGGTGTTAGTCATTTGAGTCCTCTGCCTGCTTTCCTACTGCAGTATTCTTAGAAATCTTTGGTGTGTATCATTATATCATGTGTGTTTTAGGTAACTATATAGGAATGTCCCTATTTATTCAACTACACGTGCTATAAGGAAATTGATGTGTTAAAAATTTTAAAAAGGGCATAAAAAACATGTACCATCCATTTATTCATTCAGCTGATATCTATTAAATAATATATACAGGCATTGTGCTGGTCACGGGGGATACAGCAGTAAACAGTGTCTCCTTTCTGGAGTTTACGTCAATTTACATTCTTGTGTGGGAAATACTTAGTAGACAAAGAGAGAACTAGATATTTGACAGAGGTGCTAAGGAGAAATATATGGCAGGGTAAGGGACGAAGAAGGGGATGGGTGGGAAGATCCCAGTGGGAAGGTGACGTTGAACATATTATCTGCATGAAGCAAGGTACAAGGGAGGGAAATGGATGGTCTGCAGTGGCCGTGAGCTTGAGTCAGGGTAGGGAAGTACAGAGCTATATGGGGACAAGTGTCTAGGTGATAAATGGTGACCTGGAGGCATGGGATTCTCTGATGACTGAGGTAAACAGGGACGTGGCATATGAGAGGAATGTCCCTGCTGGCCTCCCCTGGGGAGGATGGTCAGTAGTGACATCATCTTGGAATGGTCTTACAAGCAGTTTATCATGGTATATACGTATGTCTTACAGTTATCCCGAAAAGACACTAACACATTCTTTTTACATTCAGATAGTTAATTTTTTAGCATTTCTTATGGGCTGAGTGAATTTTTCTTTCCTTTTTAAAAACTCTTCCTTTCTTTAATCTATTGTTTCTTTATACTGTGAGGTACTTCTGAAGTAATTAACTCTGGTAACTTCTGATAGTAGGTAAGTCATCACTCCTAGCTTGCAATGAAGGTCATAAATTCAGGTTTTATACTTTTCCTCCTAAGGGCTTTATGCTGCATAATTTTTCTGCTCTCTCTTTTCCTCTTATTTCTCTTCCAAGTCAGAACCGGCCTGAGGACTGATCTTTTTTTTGGAGGAAAGCTGATTGATGACAGTGACTCATAGTGCCAGGCCTGACTCTTCTAAAGAGATGATTTTGTTAATCCCAAGTATATCTTTAATTGGAGAGAAGTCGGGCAAGAAACTACTTGCCCTACTTGTGAGAAGGGCTTTTAGGAGCCCCATGCAAACTTTGGGCTCTGCACTTCCTCCCTTTTTAAAATCCCAAATGAAACATACAGATATACCAGAGAAACCCAAGTCAGCCCTTGTCAACTCTGCCTTCATCTATCAATCTTTTCTCTTATCCCTTCTTTGTGCATGGTACTGAAGTGGATGAGATGATGAATTAAAAGTGGCCCCTGGTTTCAAAGAAGAAGAAAACTTTATTTATATCCTGTAGTATAATATAACTCCAAAAGAGTACAAATGGCCCCCAACTTACGATGGTTTGATGTAATGACTTTTTGAATTTGCAGTGGTGTGAAAGTGATAATGCATTCAGTAGAAACCATAGTTTGCGTACTCATACATGCACTTTGCTTTTCACTTTCACTACAGTATTCAATAAATTATACGAGCTATTTGACACTGTAGTATAAAATAGGCTTTGTGTTAGATGATTTTGCTCACTTCAGGCTAATGTAAGTGCTCTGAGCACATTTAAGTAGGCTAGGCTAAGCTATGATGTTTGGTAGGATAGTGTATTAAATGCATTTTTGACTTAGGATATTTTCAACTTATGATGGATTTATCAGGATGTAACCCCATCATATGTTGAGGAGCATCTGTATTTGAGACAAGAGGGACCATTTTTAGGTGCTACCCTACTTCTGAACTCTTGCATTTTTGTCTGTGCCTCTCTTTTTGCAAATTACAGTATTTTGGCTTATAGTATAATGAATTATGTATATGTCTTTTCCTTAGAAGGCTATAAACTTCCAGTTTTAGAGATTGGGCTCTGTTCTTTTTTAGATCCTTTACAAGGCCTGGGTTGGTACTTCAATGCTTTTACTCAATAAATGTGTGCAGAATAAAAGAATGAATGAAATATATGTGCTACAACCCTGGAATAGGATTGATTCTATTCTAGAGCTGCATTGCTCCACTTTAGTTTCATAATTTAGTTAGTACTACATGATGGTAGGGATAACTACTTGTTTCATCTTCCTCTTCTGTATAATGGGGAAAGTGGTGACCAAAAACTTTATTTGAGCATCAAATTGTAGAATGTACATGAAAGTACTCTGGAGTAGGTAGAGACTGGTATAACATTCAGTGATGAGCCAGGCCATCTGGTCACTAGTTTAGAGGAGAACATTCCTATTTTCAAGCAGCCTAAATGGATAGGATCTTTTTGGAATTGGCCATAGATGTGGAAACATTGGACATAGAGAGGAAAGAAACAGCATAGTCTTTCTTGCTTAGCATCCATTTGCCTGCTCTGGCAGAAGCTTGGTGGCCTGAGACTGGAATTGTGAACTAGTAGGCTATGAGGTGTCTTTCTCTTTTGATGGGAAAGCAAGTGCAATAGAAGTCTTAATACTCCTACCAGAAACATGTAAGTACTTGGAGAGATAGGGACCATGATTATTTGGTGTTTGGTAAATATTTGTTGAATAAACAAATGAATGGCTTATTGGTTCTGAATTTTGTTCAGTTTTGATGAACTGTCCTAAAGTTTACTAAAATGATGGTGAAATCTCTTTTTTGCAGAAATATTTGCCACTGTTTTCATGTTGGTACAGCATGTTGAAATATATGTGAGATATCTTGGGAAAACATTTTAATTCAGCAAATTCAGAAACTTGTCCTCAGAGAAATAGCTTTATTTGTTTAAGGTTGTCATTATGTGTTGCTATTTCTGAGATATTATATCTACATGTTTCAGGAAAACTGACTGAGTCATAGTAAAAATAACCCATATTGTTTTAGAGAGCCATTTATGTTGTATCGGCTTGATAATTTAAAATTAGCTGTGTTATCTACATTACTTTCTTTCAGATGAGCCAAGTCAGTGACATTCAGTAATGTTTTTAATTTCCTTTCATTGTTGAAAATGGGAACAATTTTGTTAATTCATACAGGTGTTTCAGTTTTCATTGGCAAAAGGCTTAAGTGTGAATTGGTACTGGCAGCTTGCCTTCTGACTCTCTGCCTGAAGCCTCTAAGGTCTCTGTAAATGAAAGAAGGAAAAAGACCTTTGGAAGTTATATATTATATTGTATGTATTAATATTTTCTTTTTCTGCTATTGATTTTAAAGCTATTTAATAAGTACTTATCTATGAGCATAACATAGTTTGCTAATCATCTTTACAGATTAAAATGATCACTGATTTTTCTTCTAGGGAATACTCATTTCCTAATTTTAATTTATTAAGATAGGCAATATAACTATGAGTTAATGGTACTTCTGATAGTTTATGTTACTAGAGTTAATTACTTCAGGAGTACTTCACAGAGTAGAGGAACAAGCACATCAAGACATAAGCAAAATAAAACAAAACCATGCCTACACATGTCATAGTCAATCTGATGAAAGTAAAACATAAAGAGAATATCTTGATAGCAAACAGAAAAATATGACACATTAAATAAGAGGGAGTAACAATCGCAAGGACCTTCACCTTTTCATTGGAAA